AGAACATTTCAATCTTCATTCTCTTCACAACGTTTTCTCTTGCATACTTCTCGACTTCTATCAGCGGAAAATGCTACTGATATTCATCAATTTAAAAAACAAGATTTAAAAGGTGATTATCCATCATCTCCTCGTCGTCGTCAATATCGTTATTATTTTTTATCGATTGCTGCTGGAGCATTAATTGGTGCAATTTATACTCTTCGTCAATCGCAAAAATATGAAGGTCTTATGCCTGAGTATATATCCAATTCGGAATTACTTGAACGTCAAGCAATGGAAGCTCGACCATTACCACCACCAGTTACCAAACATGTTACATTTGATAAACCACCAAAACAAAATTTTCCATTTAAATTAACACTCTATCAATATGTTACATGGTTAGTTTGTTTGTCTTATAAATAATATTTTAATTAAATTTTTACTTTGTTTGTTTTTTTTTGTCTTCATAGTCCATATTGTTGTAAAGTTCGTGCATATCTAAACTATTATCGTATACCATATGACATAGTTGAAGTCAATAGTGTAATGCGTTCCGAAACTAAATGGTCAATATATAAAAAGGTACCAGTAGTTGTTGTTGAAGATGAACAAATTCAATTAAATGATTCAAGTATGATTATATCATCTATTGAATCCTATTTACGTATGCCAACAAAAACATTTAAAAATATATCAAAATTATATCAATCAATTATTGACAAAGATGAAAAAGGAAAATTATCATTTAATTATCCAAATAAATATTTTCTTGTTGAACCATTATTAAATGATCAAATAGATCCAACAAAACAAGTACAAACAGAAAAAACAAAACATGATGCTATAGACAATAAAATACAACCAATAGAAAATACTCAACCTTCAACATCATTTTTTGGTAATTAGTTAAAAATTAAAAAAAAAAATTCTAATTTTTATTTTTTATTTTTGAAGCTAAACTTTTTTCCAAATCAAAACCTGAACGTGAACATGGTTTAATTAATATTGGCTCAGGAAATGTAACTACTAATAAGGAAACTTCATCACAAACTTCATATAGTAAATCAAGTGAACAGTATAAATTAGAACGTCAATGGCGTGAATGGGTTGATACAAAATTTGTTCATACATTATCACCAAATATTTATTGTACTTTAAGACAATCACTTAATTCATTTCGATGGTTTTCAAAAGCTGGAGATTGGGAACAAATTTTTCCATGGTATCAACGTTGGATTATTGTTTATACTGGCGCTATTATTATGCGTGGTGTTGCTGGACGTTTGAAAAAAAAACATAATTTAAATGATAATGTTAGACTTTCTTTATATGAATGTGCCAATGAATGGATTAAAGCAGTTGGAGTTAAAGATTTTCTTGGTAAGATAAAATTTGATTTAATTATCAATGAATATTATTTAAATTTCAATGTAAAGATTTGTAATTTTAGAATAGAGATGATTTTTTATTCTCGAAGTAGTTCATATTAAGTTAATAGTTTTTTCTTTCTTTTTAAGATTGTTTTATTTTGAGTAAAGATTTATTTGTTAGAGATTCTATGATTTCAATTATAAATCGGATAGAACATATAATATTCAAGACTTCGAATTCGACTATTTTTTTTTCGAGATTACTATCTTGAAGAACGAAAAAAACAAACAAACAAACAAACAGTCATCGGTGATGATAGTAGTGCTCGAAAGTAGTTGTAATCTTAATTAAAACTTTTGTGAAATGTTATAGTTTTATAAAACATTTAAACGTAATTTAAAAGATAGTTTGATTTTATCACTTAACTACAGTGAAATATCTCTCAATGAATCCCCTGTTATATTGAATAATTTTCGTCGGTTCTGACGGTATTCACAATGGAGAGATTTTATTGTAATTTCAATGTAGTTTTATGATCTCATTTTTACACATACAAAAAGAGAAGATATTTTTTTAATCGTATCATACTGTTTTATTGATCATTAAAGATCAAGGTCTTGAAGACTTGTGAATAGATGTTTATATATTGTACTGATCCAATAACACATTCATTGTTCTTATCTTTGATTCGTTTTATCGATCTATATGATCACATTACATATATATCCATTCATAAGAATTAAACTTAAGAAAACACTTTAAGATTTCGCTAAATATTTTCGTTGTTTGAAATCTATAATATGATAGAGAATAATATATCATTATTTTTTAATTTTAGGTGGATCTGAACCAAATCTTGCTGATTTAAATGTTTATGGTGTTTTAACAGCCATTCAAGGTTGTGAAGCATTTCAAGATCTTATGAATAATACAAAAATTCAACCGTGGTTTGAACGTATGAAACATTTAGTTGAACCCCATTTTGCCGATAATCATATTCGTGCTATAACTTAAAAGTTTTCTTTTCTCCCACTTAAAATTCAAACATAAAATCAGATAATTCAATCTATTGTTTATTTGATTAGAATCAGAATCTTAATAAGATATCATTTTAGATAATACAGTAGACTAATTATAAGAAAAATGACGATTATGGAATGTGCTGGTTGTACACTAATTGCATATGGTGTACCATTTTCCATGTTTGTATTTACAATTGCACATCATCCATTTCGTGTTATTATTTCTATGACAAGGTAAAAAATGAAATATAATTTTTTTGTTTTATTTAATTTTTAAAACTTTTTTAGTGCATTTTTTTGGCTTTTATCATTACTTTTATCATCATTTCTTTGGTTTGCTGTTGTACCATTACGTACTCAACTTGCTTTTGCAGTTCCATTTGCTGTAATATTTCAAGAAATATTTCGATTTTTATTTTATCGTCTTATTAAGTAAAAATTTTATTGAATATTATTTTGTAATTTTATTCGTATTCTTTATTTAGAAAAGCGGAATTTGCTTTACAAAGAGTTCAAATGCAAGAATTAACAGACAAAGGAATGGTATTTGATCGATTTGCAGTGGCTTATGGTATAAATAAATTTTAATTTATTTTAAACTAAAATTTTTCTTTTTTGTTAAGCTTCAGGATATGGGTTTGGTTTAATTAGTGGAACATTTGCTATTGTTAATGTACTTAGTGATATGACTGGTCCTGGTACACTTGGCATTTTTGGACATTCACAAGATTTTTTTATTGCTACAGGTAAAAGATCAAAATCAATAAAGACATGTTTCTCTTTTTTATTTTGTTCGAAAGAGAAATATGCATGAAGATAACAAATTATTCGTATCCAACATATGTAAAAAAATTTATTCATCTTAGTTCTCCTATTAATGCATTTCATACTTATTTCTTGTTCAGTACATTTTTTATTCTTTTTTGAGAATCGAGTCTATAATATGATATTAGCTTAGTTTTTATCGAAATTATTTCAATAATTAACGAGACGAAATTTTCCAGTATTGATTACCGAATAAAAAAAAAACAAGATTTTTTCATGAGATAATAGTGTAGGACTCACAATTTCATTGTGTGAAACCGAATATAAAACTGAACTTTTAGCGAAAGCCTGCGATAGATGATGTGTATGCCTCATCTTCAAGTTGTAGTACAAGGTTTTATTTGCTAATGTGAATTTCCACAGTTTTTGAGCACCCTATATCACATGCTATAAACTTAACTAAGACAATTAATAGAACCTGAAATAGAGAATATTCGATCATTGATTTGAAATATCATTTTCTTACTTATTCAAACAGTATAAACAAATATTAGATTAATTTACGTGATTTGCTTCATCAATACTATATTACAATATGCATGTGATTCAAAACATTTTCTAGGTGTACTGTAGATGATACAGATATGAAAAATGTGTTTATTACATTTAAGTGAATAAGTATGTGAATATTGTTAGTCATGAGTCATTTTTCGATCCCATGTGCTTTTTTTTAACAGTCAAGGAAAAAAGTTATCCTTATCGACCTTGCTTTTTTTTTCTAAATATCAATGTATTTATATTGAATATTTGTCTTTTAGCATTTCTCACATTATGTGTCATTCTTTTAAATACATTTTGGGGTGTTATTTTCTTTACATCCCTTGATAAAGGTGGTATTCATAGATTTATTGGTCCTGGAACTGTTGTTCTTACACATATGCTTTTTTCTTGTATTGTAAGTATTTCCTTTTTTTGTTTTTTTTTTTTGTTCAAATATCTTTATAAATATTAAATTATTTCAGACATTAGTCAATCGAACATTAACACCAATGTATACCATATCACTTATTGTTGGTTATGCCATTTTACTTGGCATGATAATATATACAGTAGTTTTACGTGGATTTAATCTAAATAATATTCGTCAAAGAATAAATTGAGAATGAATATCTATTATTTATAACATTTCTTATTTGTTGTAAATTGATTATTAATTGTCTTTTTTTTTATTGAAAATTCAAATTATTATCTTTTGCTTGTTTTTTTTTGTTTTGATCTATATTTATTATTTGTCATTGTTCAAAACGAAACTAACAGAAAATGATATGTAGACACATTAAAAAAAAATCAAACAGTATAAATGTAATTAATAAAAAATAAAATCAAATGAGCATGCCATCAAAATGGTTTTTTAGATGTTTTTTTCGCGTATTTTACGTTTTCATGTTGATTTTCTAAGTAAAAAGAGACATGATTTTTCGTTTGGTAAGATATATATTTCGAACCTAGAATCATTCTTTGTATCTGTTTTCTTTTTGTCAGTATACAACACATACAGAATGGCATCATTCTCATTATCAAAGAAAAAAGTCTCCCTTGTTGGTTCGGGTAATTGGGGAAGTGCATTGTAAGTTTTTGTATTCTTCTTTTTTTTTGTTTCTAAATTTTTGATTTGATTAAATATAGTGCTTGTCATATTGGTGAAAATATTCGTCAATTAAAAAGTCAATATCATGAACGAATTTTAATGTGGTGTAAAGAAGAAATATTAGATGATGGAAGTAAATTAACTGAAGTCATTAATAAAAAACATGAAAATGTCAAATATTTACCCAATAAAAAAATTCCAGATAATATTGTTGCTGTACCTGATCTTGCTGAAGCAGTTAAAGATGCTGATATACTTATTTTTGTTATACCACATCAATTTGTAAAAACAACTTGTGAACAATTAAGAGACAAAATTAAAAAAGATGCATTTGCTTTAACACTAACTAAAGTTTGACAAAAAAAAAAAGAGAATTTTTATTTTTTATTATTTCGTTTTATTTTCAGGGATTTTATGTTGATGAAAAAACGAATGAACTTTTACTTGTTTCGAAAATTATTGAAAATACATTAAATATTCAATGTGCTAGTATGATGGGAGGTTTGTTAATTAAATTTGATTTATTAATTTAAAATATACTTGTATGTATTTATTACATTAGCTAATATTGCTAGTGAAGTAGCTGACAAATTTTTTTGTGAAGCAACTGTTGGCTCTCGAAATGATAAAAATAGTGAAATGATTCGACAATTAATTGATACACCTCTTTTTCGTTTACGTTTTTATCCTGATGTTGAAATTATTGAAATGCTTGGTGCTTTAAAAAATATTGTTGCAATGTTAGCTGGTTTTTCAGAAGGTTTAGGTGCTCGTTTTAATACTCGAGCAGCTGTAATATTTTAATTTTATTTATGATTTAAAGATATTAATTTCTTTTATCTAGATTCTTCGTTTGGGTCTTCGTGAAATGATTAGTTTTTGTCGTTTATATAGAAAAGAATCAACATTAGAAGTTTATTTTGAATCGTGTGGTATAGCTGATTTAATTACATCATCATTAGGTGGAAGAAATTATATGGGTGCAAAAAAAATGACTGAAACAAATAAATCATTAAAAGATATTGAAAAAGAAGATCTTAATGGACAATCATTACAAGGTCCAAGTACAGCAAAAGAAGTTTATCGTTATCTTCAAGGAAAAAATTTATTAGATCAATTTCCATTATTTCGTGATGCTCATCTCATTTGTGAACACAAAATTAAACCACACGTATTTATTGATAACTTAGGTGCACATCCAGAATTCGAACAAAAAAATCACAAACAATCATAATCAGGCATTCCTTTTTTTTCCTATTCAATTTGCTTTTCTTTAAGAACAAATGAATTATCTCTGCACAAACCATTTAGTAATAATTTACAATTTATTATTTTTAAATAGTTCTAACAAAAATTAGTTTTTTGTTGTTTTCTTTTTTTAGTTTTATATTATTTATGCACGTTACGAATATTTATAGGTAGCACTGAACAAAGAAAAAATAAACTATCTCAATGTATACAAAAAATGTTAACTCTAGAATTTGGTTAAACAATTAATGATTTTATTCAACGAGAATATTGATATAAAAGTTTTTTTCTTTTAAGAATCTTTAAAAACAAAAAAAAAGAAATGGTGAATATTAGTATTTTCTTTTAATTGTGAAAAAGAAAAGAAATTTAGAAAATATTAAAAGTATCTTACATTTGACTGAAATAAAATTGCATCAAAAGAATCTGTTGAATAATTTGTTTCAATAATTCTTAATAAATATATTATCATCATAAATGTTTCAAGTGATATCAGAATTATAATGATATTTCTTATGAAATATAAAATATACTGTGAAAAATTATCAAGAAACTAATCTTCTATTCTTATAAGAGTTCAAAATATATATACTTTAAGTTACTTAATATCATTAGAAAACTATCAGAGACTGATAAAAATAAATATTGTTTTTTTTCTTTGCATCAAATATATCGAGAACTTTGTATATGAATTTTCTATCAAGATGATGATTGTCTTCTAAATAAAAAAAATATACTTGTTATAAGTCTATAATAATTAATGCATTGAATTAACATACACAATATATTGTCTGTCATCTATCACCGTGTCCGGAAAGTTCGTAGAACTCATATTATATGAAGCAATAAGATAACAATTACTGCATTTATTGAATGTAATAACCTTCGCTAGCAACCACACTTTGCCATCGGTTATACAAACTTTGTATTCCATCGAAAAAAAACCCTGAACCAAGATTATTTAAGTGCTCCTCAACCGTCGTTATCACTTCGTCATCAGAGTAAAAGTTCTTGCCACGAAGAAATGCCTTCAAATTTTTGAACAAGTAATAGTCACTAGGTGCAATATCCGGAGAATAGGCGGGATGATTCACTTCACCAAAATTCGCCTTACGAATAGCAGCTTGGACGACGTTGCTCTTGTGCACGGATGCATTGTCATGAAGAACTAGCACTTCATGATTGTTATTTCGTTGTCTATTTTCGACCGCTCAACTAATTCTTTTTGATAGACACGGTTGTGAAAACTAATTCTTTCCACAAAATGATACAATCAGTCGAGAAAAAGATCTATGCCGTGTTGAAAATTCATCTTTTGCACAATAACATGAACTAAACGTCTCATACATGCAATTAGGATACAGTTCTACGAACTTTCCGGACATCCTGATATTATAAATAAGGAAACTATTTGAATTTTCTATTGTAGACTAATTCATCAAGATTCAATTTAATTTAAAACAACGTCGTAATATATTACTATGACGTGTTTGTACTCAGTTATTTAGCACAGAGTTGAGGTGTTAATTAAAACTTGCGGAAATTCATACAATAAGAATTATTGATGCGTATGAAGAACACTGATTATACTAATTCTCTATTTCTATCACAATATTTTACTCTCGTTGGTGATGGAATTTTTAATAGACTCCTTTCTGACATAAAGACAATTGAATAATGACAAATACCCTAGAAAAATGAAGTCAATGAAAGTGATTAAAGGATTCTTTAGATTAACGTGCCTACTCTTTTAAGGGTGAAGAGAAGAAATTTATGTTCAAACATATATTGTTGGTTTTAAATCTATTTTTATAATTATCTTTAAATCTTTATTATCAAAATTACTACGAGAAAAAATAAAGGCAAAAACTAAATTATTAATATTTATAAAATAAAATATATAATGGAAATAATAATGAAAAAATTCATTTGACACGATTTTTATCTTCTTTTCTTATTCGAAGATCAACAATAAAACCAATATTTTGTATATATAAATGACTATTATAATACATTTTCATCTGATTCATTATCATACAGATTAATATCAAAGAGATTAAATCATGATTTTTTTCTAATGAATTCATTTATAATATAGCTTGAAATATTTTATTCTCAATTAGTGTTTATTTCCGCAGAAAAAAAAGACTCAGTTATTCATTGTAAAAAGTTAAGTTTATTATATTAATAAAAATAAAATTAGAAAAGAACTTTAAAGCATATCTGAAGAATATGATAAGAAAAAATACACTTTTAATTTATCTGCTTTTATACATATTTTTTTTTCTTCATTGTTTTCAAGTTCATTTCGTTCTCTTCTTGGAAAAGCTTTCAGTTTAAAAAAAAATCTAATCTCACAGATCATCTATTCGCTTGTTTTATCCTAAGATGTATAGAATATAGATATCGATGAATTGATCACTCATAATTCTTTCTGTATTTATCACCATGAATTAATTTTTCTACAATGATTCACTATAAATTTTGATTTAAAAAGAATTCAAAAGTAAATAATACGTTTTCATTTAGTAACTTTCATGAAGTAAATCTATTTTTTCGTCATATACTTTCAAAGATATTCTTTAGTTCTCTAAATATTGCATAGTTCAAATTATATAAATTCTTGTCATACGGAATCTACTATTTGCTTTTTTATTTTGAATTACGAAAACATGCCTTTATAAAAAATATTCTTCACAACTATTGAATCAAACGTTTTTATTAGGTCCTATGACCCAAAGCATTTTTTATAATGAATATTATTTTTGGTATATAATATTTTGTTTGCATTCATCACTCTTCTTTAAATGTTAATTGAACCATCGAATTTACGGCTTTGTGAATCATTACTTTTTAGTAACTAACATTATCATACCATTAAAAAACCACCTACACGATTATTATTAACATCATTATGACAAAAACTTTTTATCTTTTAATTCTCTTATTTTATTTATGTTAGAAAAATTTTAAATTTCTATTATTAGATAGATTTTT